TCGTATCTATTTGTCTGCCTATCTATCTATTTCAGTCTGTTTATATCTATCTATCTATCTATCTATCTATCACTGTTACCCTTTCTTTCTCTCATACACGCAAAAACTCACTCTTATCTCTTTCTATGGGCCATATGTTTATAATACGCGGCCATTAGACATCTTGACGTAGTATAATGGTTAGCAATCTTATTCCAATAGATCTTCACTGGGCGCCCTATACATTCGGCCTTGTGACACACATAAACTACGTTTAGAATATCCCTCTAATACGCGAAGGTGGATTGTTCCCCACATGTCTCAGCCGGTTTTTCCCCACTATATTTTTATTAACAGCATACAAGCGCAATATAAATTTTTAGTCTCGACGTTTGACATAACGCTGTACCGTTTATGCCTGGATTGCTTTTCTATAAAAAATTCTCTGACAACAGCTACCACACATCACATTTCTTTGGAATCAAATGACTGACGTCCAACTGAAAGAAGAAAAACCTCCAGTAAAAGCAATGCTTCACTCCTCTGGAACTGACGAGAAGTGGTTAAGAGACAAGAAAGAAATGATATTTGGATCGTGTCTCTGGATATCGGCTGAGGAAATACCTTTGGCCTTAGTTCCGCTGCATCAATGTATGAGTGGAAATCGGAATTGGTGATAGCATAAACAGGAAATGCAACTGTTGGCTAAAATATACGGGACGTACATGTGTCCTGAGTAGAAGGAAATGCGTGTTTGCGTGGGATATATATATATATATATATGTGTGTGTGTGTGTGTGTGTGTGTGTGTGTGCGTGCGTGTGTGTGTGTGTGTGTGTGTGTGTGTATTCGTCACTTCATTTGAGCCCAGCAGCAATATACTACATATAGTATTGTCAGCATCATTTTGTCGAACCAAATTTCTCTTACCTTAAATCACTTAACTTTAAATCACTTTACTTTGTACTTATTGTGATGTTCCTAATGTTCTTTATATTTTGCTTAGCTTTTGAAAGGCATCTTTCGCTCTTTAAATGTGCCTTCACATTTCGGTGTCATATCTTCTCTCCTCTGTTAAAGCGTTTCGTAAAAATTTTAATTTTTGCACTGGCTTGGTTTTGGTGATGAGACCTTCTTCCTCTTGGGCCTTGTCGTCATTCAAAGCAGAATCTCACCTGCTAATTTTTTTAATTCCTGAAAAAATACAACCATCCCTGGAAGTAAATTACTTGAATACTAATAATCGTACCAATCGTAAAGCACTGCGGTAGGGTGTAAGTTAAATAAGGACGGAATGTAAATAAAATAAGGTAGGATTTAAATAAAATAAGGAGGGGTGTAAATAAAATGAGGCGTGTGTAAAGGAGATATGGTGGGATGTAAATAAAATAAAGTAGGGTGTAAATAAAATAAAATAAAACGGGGTGCAATTAAAATGAATCGGTGTGTAAAGGAAATAAGGTGGAATGTAAATAAAATAATGTAAAATAAAATAAGGCGAGTTGTAAATAAAATAAGGCGGTATGTAAAGGAAATAAGGTGGAATATAAATAAAATAAAGTAGGATGTGAATAAAATAAGGTAGGATGTAAATAAAATAAGACTGTGTGTAAATAATATAAGGCGGTGTCTAAAGAAAATAAGGCGGTGTGTAAAGAAAATAAGGTGGAATATAAATAAAATAAGGTAGGTTGTAAGTAAAATAAGGCGGGGTGTAAATAAAATAAGGCGGTGTGTAAAGGAAATAAGGTGGAATATAAATAACATAAGGTAGGTTGTAAGTAAAATAAGGCGGGGTGTAAATAAAATAAGGTGGTGTGTAAAGGAAACAAGGTGAAATGTAAATAAAATAAGGTAGGTTGTAAGTAAAATAAGGTGGTGTGTAAATAAAATAAGGCGGTTTGTAAAGGAAACAAGGTGAAATGTAAATAAAATAAGGTAGGTTGTAAGTAAAATAAGGCGGGGTGTAAATAAAATAAGGCGGGGTGTAAATAAAATAAGGCGGTGTGTAAAGGAAATAAGGTGGAATATAAATAAAATAAGGTAGGTTGTAAGTAAAATAAGGCGGGGTGTAAATAAAATAAGGCGGGGTGTAAATAAAATAAGGCGGTGTGTAAAGGAAATAAGGTGGAATATAAATAAAATAAAGTAGGATGTGAATAAAATAAGGTAGGATGTAAATAAAATAAGACTGTGTGTAAATAATATAAGGCGGTGTCTAAAGAAAATAAGGCGGTGTAAAAAAAAATAAGGTGGAATATAAATAAAATAAGGTAGGTTGTAAGTAAAATAAGGCGGGGTGTAAATAAAATAAGGCGGTGTGTAAAGGAAATAAGGTGGAATATAAATAACATAAGGTAGGTTGTAAGTAAAATAAGGCAAAAATAAAATAAGGTGGTGTAAAGGAAACAAGGTGAAATGTAAATAAAATAAGGTAGGTTGTAAGTAAAAATAAGGTGGTGTAAATAAAATAAGGCATTTGTAAGAAAAACAAGGTGAAATGTAAATAAAATAAGGTAGGTTGTAAGTAAAATAAGGCCAGGGTGTAAATAAAATAAGGCGGGGGTGTAAAATAAAATAAGGCGGTGTGTAAAGGAAATAAGGTGGAATATAAATAAAATAAGGTAGGTTGTAAGTAAAATAAGGCGGGTGTAAATAAAATAAGGCAGGGTGTAAATAAAATAAGGCGTGTAAAGGAAATAAGGTGGAATATAAATAAAATAAGGTAGGTTGTAAGTAAAATAAGGCGGGGTGTAAATAAAATAAGGCGGTGTGTAAAGGAAATATTGCGGTATGTAAAGGAAACAAGATGGAATGTAAATAAAATAAGGTAGAATAAAATAAAATAAGGCGGGTTGTAAATAAAATAAGGCGGTGTGTAAAAGAAATATGGTGGAATGTAAATAATATAAAGTGGTATAAATAAAATAAGGTAGGTGTAATGGAAATTAGGCAGATGTAAATAAAATAAAGCGGGTGTAAATAAAATAATATGAGATGTAAATAAAATAAGATGGGATGTAAATAAAATATGGCAGCGTGTAAATGAAATAAAGTGTAATGTAAAATAAAACAATGCTGAGTGTATATAAAAGCGACCTACTTAATCCTGTCGGCACCTGTATTTGAAAGGCAAGAGTACTAAATAATTCAGGAGACAATTATATTTCATCAAAAAAGTACGTCGAAACGTCGTATAGCAAATACACGGATTCAAACAACAACAATGAAGATCAACATATTGTTTTGTTTTTTGGGGTTTTTTCTTTATCTTTCTATCTTTTTCTCTTTTTTTTCTTCTTTTTAGTCTCTCATTTTTTTTTTTAAATTTAATCTATTCCTCTATTTTCCTCTCTTTTTTTCTCTCTTCTGTGTCTGGCGCGATGAAGGTGGAAGATTATTTGTGTGTCGCCTGGGAGAAGAGCCTGGATGACGCCTTTGTAAAAAATTATCATCTGATTGTCTACAAGTTCCACTATTATTATTATTACATCATGGTAATTATTCTTCCTTGTTCTTCCAGCTTCTCTTGCTACTGACGGCGATAAGGATTTTCAAAGAGTTTTCGTAATTGCTTGATTTATGGCGTAGGGTTTGAATCAGCATCTATTTTGTTACAGCAGAATCATGGGGTGGCTACTAATCCCAATTGATATGACAATCTGTTCTCAGATGGCGGAAAATGGTAATCACTGTGTGAGAATCAAAACTCAAAGCCAAGTTTTCTCCTTCTCGCATGATATATGGAACAGGGATACATAAGACTAGTTTTGTTTCAATTTCTCGAAAGAATGGGTCATCGTGTTTTTGTTTTTTTTTAATAATTTCATCCCAAGCTAGGCGAAAATGCCAGTAAATGGCAAGGGGTTAAATGACAGCGAAAGCGAATAAAAAGACCGGAGAAAGGACAATAAAGGAACAGGTTTCAGGAAGACGTAAAATGGCGAATGATTATTTTTTCTAATTTTTTCAGAATGTAGGTGGCAAGGGAAGCAAGAGATCGGAAGGGAATTCCACTAACGTGAAATGTGCGAAAAGAAACTATTAAAATTGTAAACAGTACAACAGTTAGGTGAGACCTAACTGCCAATCTAGTAGCACGCTGAAATTCATGCAGTCGGGGCACCAGGGTGTAAAGATCATCAGAACAACTGTAATGAAAATATTTGTAGAAAAAACAGAGGGAATTCAAGTCACGGCGCTGAAAATGTCTAGATACCAAACCTGGATCGATTACATGACAGACCTTCGAATTTTTTCAAGAATCCTGAGATCTGTCTATATTAGGAACAGCAGACCATAATATTATATTAATAATGATGATGGTGGTGGTGGTGGTAATGGTGGTGGTGGTGATGATGCTGGTGGTGGTGGTAATGATGATGGTGGTGGTGGGGGTGATGATGATGATTGTGGTGGTGGTGGTGGGGGGGGGGATGATATTGATGCAGATGGTGAGATTATGATGGTGATAGTGGTGGTGGCGGTGATGATGGTGACGATGATGTTGATTATGAGGATGATAATTGTGATGATGATTCTGTTGATGATGATGTTCATTATGACGATGGTGATGGTGGTAGTGGTGGTGGTGGTAATGATGATGATTGTGGTGGTGGTAATGATGGTACTGCTGCTGTTGATAATACTGATCATGATGATGATCGCTGACTTGGTGATGACGATGGTGATGATGATGGTCGTGAAGGTGATGGTGGTTTGTAATAATGATGGTGGTGGCGGTTATTATGTTGATTGTGTTGGTGATTCGGTTGATGATGTTGATTATAATGATGATGATATTGGTGGTGGTGGTGGTGATGTTGATTGTGATGGTGATTCGGTTGATGATGTTGATTATAATGATGATGATGATGATGATGGTGGTGGTGGTTGTGGTGGTGGTGGTGGTGGTGGTGGTGGTGGTGGTGGTGGTGGTGGTGGATGTGGTGGTGATGATGATGATGATGATGTTGATGTTGATTATGATGGTGATGATGATGATCTGAAAAGGAAGAAAACTATGAAAAAGAAGAATGAACGAAGACAATACGAAGAGGAGGAGACAGAAGCAATGAAGAGAAAGAAAACGACGTAGAGGTAGAAGAAGAAGAAGAAGAAGAAGAAGAAGAAAAGAAATGATATGTAGAGATGAAAGAGAAGAAAACAGAAAAAATCAAGAGGAAAAGAAGAACTATGTGTGCGAGGGTGAGAGAGAGAAAGAGAGAGAGAGAGAAAGAGAGAGAGAGAAAGAGAGAGAGGGGTTGAGAGAAACGAGAAAGCGAAAAAGAAATCGAGAAAGGAAAAAAAGAACGTGAAACTGATATATGTTATTCTGCTTTCACAATTGAATACATGGTAGATAATACTCATATTTTATGCATATACATGTTTGTGTGAACAGAGTTACTACAGGCAGTGATATGTTTTATGTTGTAGTTTTGTTGAAGTTATATTTTGGAATACAGTTTGATTTCTTTAAGAAATTGTAGGATATTCTATGGATTAATATCACGAAAGTTGTTTGAAACATATATTGTTGGTAATGTTGCTATAAGTACCGTTTATTTTTTTATGTAAAAAGATATTGCTGGTATTTTTACTGTAAAAATATATTTACATACTTTATTTTCATAGTGTTTTGTTTTTGATTGGAGATTCAGTATTTGCCCATAGCTGGGACCCTAACAGGTGCTACAACCCCGAGTCAGGGGGGACCTGCGAATAACAGCAATTAACAGGTGGTTCGACGCTCCTCAAAACTTCCCGATCTGAGGCCTTGTTGCCGGATATAGTTTAAAGAAGAAGAAGAAGAAGAAGAAGAAGAAAATGTACGTGAATGAATAATATAGAAGAAGAAATATGCGAGGGGATGGGATAAAAGAGAGAAAGAAAAATATTAAAAATAAGGAAGAGGAAATATGATGTGGCAAAGAAGAAGAAGAGGGAAAAGAACGAAGGAAAGAAATAGGATGATAAAGAAGAAGAAGAAGAAGAAGAAGAAGAAGAAGAAGAAGAAGAAAAAGGGAAGTAAAACAGCAAAAATAACAAAAGGGAATAGATGCGAAAGAGCAAGATAAGAGCAAGATAAGAGCGAGAGAAAGAAGAAGACGAAATCAGATGTGGCAACTAGAAAGAAGAGAGAGAAAAAGAAGGAAAAAGACGGTGATCAGGATGAAGAAGAAGAAAAAAAGGAAGATGAAGGAAAAAAAGAAGAAGAAGAAAAATGAAGAAGAAGAAGAAAGGGAAGTACAACAGCAACAACAATAACAAAAAAAGAGAAGAAAAAAAAGAAGAAAAAGATTAAGAAGAAAGGTAGTACAACAGCAACAACAATAACAAAAGAGAAAGGATATGAGAGAGTAAGATAAGATATAAGAGAAAGAGAAGGAAAGAAGAAAAGAAGAGGAAAGCAGACGTACCAAAAAGCAAAGGGAAAATGAAGCAAATATAGAATAATAATATGAGGTGGGTACATGTAAAAAAAAAAACGAAGAAAGGAAACAAATAAATAGAACTGTTTAATAAGGATAGAAAAATGATGCACGATAAAGGAAAATAAATCATAACGTTTCAACCGCTGTACCTAGTGGCCTTCTTCAGATAACTGTCATGCAAGATAACCTTGAAATTTCTAACTAAACACATTATTCAATTAAGCGAGTAGACAGTTCTCTTTCTGTTGTTCATTCTAACAGGCGATTACTGGTATTAATCAATTCTTTTATCATTTCGTCCGCTAGGATTTCGTCGGACTAAAGTAATGATTTTGTTGACGGAATTATATACAAAAATTTATATAATTGTTTTATGGATGAAGTGGAAAGATTATATTGAATCAATTGATAAAACTTCTGTTACGAAAGTTGATTCAATTTGTCATGCTAGACAATTATTAATCTAGAATCGATCTTACATATTTATAAGTGTACCATTCATCCATGCATTGAATATTGCCGCTACAACTAATCTAGCGCTTCTGCTATGCATTTTAGACTTTCTTGATGGAATCCAAAGAAGAATCTGCAATGTTACTGGTCCTGAGCTGGCATCTTGGATTCAGTCCCTTTCCCACTGACGTAATGTCGCTTCCCTGAGCCTTTATATATATATATATATATATATATATGTATGTATGTATATAAAACATTAGGCAGCATATAATTTACATACAAAGAAATAATCACACATAGAATCAATCTGATTGATTCTATGTGATTATTTTATTTATATATATATATATATATATATATATATATATATATTATATATATATTTAAAAAAATATGATTCCAAATCGCTACATAAGAGGTCTCATGTTTCAAAACAAGAGCCGAAAACTTCAATATAATCCTTTAAATTAAATTGAGTTGAAAGTAAAATGGGCTCCGTTCCATCTTCAAGCGAATTTTTGTTGGAATAACGTATATCTGAAATTTACTTGTTTTAAAATTGAAATCAAAATCCCCATGGTAACAGCTAGGGTGAATTGTCTAAATTGGGTAGGCGAGTGTAGGGTGTTTATAATTATTAGCGGTATAGAGATACTTTCAAGGTGTCAAGTCGGGGAAAGGTGGGGGTGTCAAAAATGAAACGGAAGATGTATTGGCCATCGTCTAGTTTGCTTGTCTATGCTCTACTTTTGTATCGAGCACTATTTTTTAAAAATAATAACTAAGGGACTTTGGATTATTTACCTAACCAATTCCTTCCTATTTCTATATATTTTCACACACACACACACACATATATATATATATATATATATATATATATATATATATATATATATATATATATATATATATATAATACAAATATATGGATATAGATCCGACAGTATGAAGAAAAATATACGGAAAAAAACAAACAAAAATCCTAATATGCAATTATGCTGTTTTAATGTTAATATAATGTCAACGTCGGACGTTTCGGTCTAGTAGACCATCTTCAGGACATATTCATAAAACATAATTAGACTATATTTAATTCAACATGAAAAGACGATGGGCATAAGAGTAAGACTGATCAAAACAGATAACTGAAATTTTTCAAGATCAGCGTTCCGTTTCAATATGATCACGTCGGCGTCACGTGGACGATGTTGTGAAAACGTATTCCTAAAATAGAATTAAATATAGTCTAATGTTAATTATGTTTTATGAATATGTCCTGAAGTATATTTTTTTTCATTCATTCATTCATTCATTCATATATATATATATATATATATATATATATATATATATATATATAGGAAGTAGTTTTGAAAGGATAAAACATTTGTTTTATAAACGTTCAGTTCCTCCGTTAATCAATTAGCGTTCATATATAAAAGAAATCGACGATTTAAAAAGGAAATAATTCTTCTCCATAATAAGTGATTAAATATATTTTTAAGTAATGAATTAATTTATCGAAAATTTAAAAATAAAACGTAAAACATGAAAATATCAAACGATTTCTAGCAAAAAGAAAATTAATTTCCATTAATAAATAATAAATATATCATCTATAATTATTGCAATTTAAGAAGAATTCTTTAAAGATATAAGAATTTTATTTTGCAAGGAATAAAAAATCACAAAATTAACGGAAGTGAATCTTTTTGGAAACCGCCAAAGTACAGCTGACCTTTTCTTTGACAGTCAAATTTATAATATTTAATGCAAAATGAAATTATACCCTGCCCGGGTTGATTGTCGGGGTTTCACGTTGGATCTTTGTAGCATTTGTATCCTTAAGTGCATTTGCTGCGTATAGGTAATACAGAATGGAACGTAAGATTTGCCAGGTTTTTTTTAGGTAAAAATGTTGGCCCCCACTTTATTGATGTATTACATTATGTTGCTTAGTAATTTCTATATTTTCTTTAGGATTAAGAAAATATTATTTATAATATACTTTTGAACCGTTCTCTATGTTTGTCCGAATTTTAAAAAAAACATTATAAACTAACTTAAAAGCATTTAAGCTATGTCCTGTGAAGGGCTCTTGATTGGGTCATCATCAGAATAGGTAGAGAGGAGTAGATGCAATAGGAAACAATTAACTACAGAAGAACTCAAAATTGAACGCTGCATTAAAATATTGCATTAATATTTAACCTTTTGAAGGTTCAACGATAATTATTCTGCTGACAATTAATTTAAAGAAAATTTGATGTACGTAGGTCCTTACTTTCTGCATAAACAATTATTTTTATTTCATGGGTGATTTTCGCTGGATTTAGCAAATAATTTTGTTTATTCCCAAGTTTATTTTCAACTTATAAAAAATTGTTATCGTTCTATCATGGGTCCTTACCTATAGCTACAGAACTTCCTAACACTACGTATATTACACCTCTCAAGAGAGAGGGACGAATCAAGCCGAGCTTCTCGGCTTGACGGTCGAACTCTCTGCCTCTGAGCAGAGAGGAACCTGGATGAGGCTCCGCCGAAGGGCAGAGTCTCGTTCGGGGAGGTTGACCAACTCGATCCGGTTTTTACAGTTTCTACGGGCATTTTTTGGCCGGGCCTACGAGCTCGGGAAACCCACGTTAAACTCGGCCTTGTGCCACGTGCAACACTCGTGGTGGGACTATATACCGAATCGAGCCGAGCTTCTCGGCTTGACGGTTGAACTCTCTGCCTCTGAGCAGAGAGGAACCCGGACGAGGCTCCGCCGAAGGGCAGAGTCTCGTTCGGGGAGGTTGACCAACCTGATCCCGTTTATACGGGTTCTACGGGCATTTTTGGCCGGGCCTACGGGCTCGGAACCCCATGTAAAACTCGGCCTTGTGCCACATCTTTCCATCGGGAGGGAGGGTAGGGCAAGTAAATATCGAATCGAGCCGAGCTTCTCGACTTGACGGTCGAACTCTCTGCCTCTGAGCAAAGAGGAACCCGGACGAGACTCCGCCGAAGGGTAGAGTCTCGTTCGGGGAAGTTTACCAACCCTATTTTGTTTCTACAGTTTCTACGGGCATTTTGGGGGCGAGCCTACGGGTTCGGAAAACCCACGTAAAACTCGGCCTTGTACCACATCTTTCCCTCGTGGGTGGGGGCAAATAAATATCGAATCGAGTCGAGCCGATAGTAGTTCACTCCAAACCAGACTGACAGTCATACTAACACCTTCCACATCTTGTATTATTATTTCATGTAATATACCTTCGTTATTTCTACTCTTGTGTTCGTGTTGTTCTTCATTGGTCCTAACCTGGACCATAACACGTACAAAAAGAAATTCGTCGCAAAAAAAAAAAAAAAAAAAAACACATAAAAAAATTGCCAAAATCAATCGCAGTAATGAAAGTTTGGGAGTCCAAAATGTCAGGATTGCGGGTCTGGATTTGGCCCGGAATGTTTTTAATTTGCTCACAGAGTCGGCGTGAATCCAAAATGGTACGATATGTTGAGCTACGGCCTCTAGGAGTAAAGTTCAGAAAGCGCGACACAGTGACACACTGACATTCGCTTTTATTATATACATACTAGCAGCATGGCCCGGCGTTGTCCCTGCTTGATTCAAAAATCGTACGACTCATACAGCAATCGCTATCATTTGACTTAAAATATTTTTGCTCTTCCTTGCTTTTAAAACAGTGCTCTTTGCCGTGCTGATGTTGCTACATGCCTTACTTCTTGCCTATCTCACACTGCGAATTTTTTCTAAGCTCTATACTAAACATTAAATCTGTTACGAAAAAAGAACTAAACAAAATGAACACAAAACGATTTCAAAAAGGACTCGTAACTGGAAAAACCGAATGAAAAAAGAATGTTAACAACAAATACTTTTTCACACCCAACCCAGTTCTGCAGAATCAGAATCAACGTTGAGTTTAAGCAAGCGAATGAGCCAACTGGAGTAAAGTGCCATGCAGATTTAAATTTTTCCCACTTGTGACGAATGCAGCTATCGATTTTTTTTGCATGCTAGCATGCTAGTTAACATTCGTGTCAGTCAGCTGTTGGCTCTCACGCTGGCCAATAGAATCGTCCTGCCTATTCGTTGCAGCCAACTATAGGCTCTCACTCTGGCCAGTACAAAATGGCCGCAAACTACATGAAAAGTGCCGTAGAAGCATGAAAAAATCGATTATTTCCACTATCGATAGGAGTTGGGAAATACAACGTCGGTCTTGGCCTTTCCACTAACTTGGAGCAAGTGCATGTAAATTTTGGTGCAAATCCGTCGAAAATTGCGGCCGTGCATTCGTTACACACACACACACACACATCCTGCCTTTTATAGATAAAAATTATATAGATATAGATGTTTTACTCTATGAGCTTCATAAAGTTGTCATCACGAGTGCAGTAACAAAATCAATTCAATGCGCATATGAGGTCGATGTATTGAATGAAAGAAAGTGGTTTTGGCGTTTGAAAATGAGAATTTTAGACGACGAGGACCAAGGAGAGTCGTTCAAAATGAATCGATTCAGACGATGTGGAAGCTGCTAGGAAACTCAGTGAGAATTGTATGTTAGTCATACTACAGCCCTACGGGAATTGAAAAAGGGAGGAAATGGTTTCAGTTCTTGGAAAATGGGTCCCGCACGACCTGCCTGAAGAGAAAATGCGACACTGAAATCTGAAGCTGCCTTTGAATAACGAAAGATGCCTTCCAAAAGTTAAGTAAAGTATTATGAAACAGGAAAATTTTTGTTAGAAACAAAGAAAAGGATAATGATCATCAACATCATCAATCTTCCTCTATGGCGGTGAATGCTGGACAATCTCCTCACAGATTTGACTTGAGGTAACGTCAAAGTGGTTCTACAGAAGGATACTGAGAATACCATCAACTGAACATGTGAGTGACGACGAAGTTTTAATTAAAATGAAAGAATAAAAAACCTTATACGTAGAACCAAATGGCGAGAATTTGAATTTCAAGGGCACATAATGAGGAAAGAGGGTTTGTAAAATGCGACGCACACAAGGCATATTTAAGAATTCAGATTCAAAAGAAAGCATCGATAAATCTGTCTAACGAGCTTCTGAAAATGGTTAGCAATGTAGGGTTTAAGACAAAACTTAATAAGAGTTACAAAAAACAAGAAATTGTGGAGAGCCATGATCGTCCATGTTCAGAAGTGACATGCTATATATTGATAGTATTTGTTATTGTTGTTGTTGTTGTTAAATATATATTGATAAATTTTTATCAAACATATTGCAAATAAGTAGGGAAATGAGAGAGTATTACGATAGATAGATAGATAGATAGATAGATAGATAGATAGATAGATATGAATAAACTGAGGTGGATAGATAGACATGAATAAACTGAGATAGATGATAGATATAGATAGATAGATAGATAGATAGATAGATAGATAGATAGATAGAATGAATGGCTTGGATAGATAGATAGATAGATAGATAGATAGATAGATATGAATAAACTGATAGATAGATAGATAGATAGATAGATAGATATGGATAGATAGATAGATAATGAACAGAGTAGATAATAGAACAGATGGATAGATAGATATGAATAAACCAGAGATAGATAGATAGATAGATAGATAGATATGAATAAACTGAGATAGATAGATAGATAGATATAGATAGATGATAGATAAACCGAAATAGATAGATAGATAGATAGATAGATAGATAGATAGATGAGGTAGATAGATAGACATGAATAAACTGAGATAGATAGATGAGATAGATAGATAGATAGATAGATAGATAGATAGATAGATAGATAGATAGATAGATAGATATGAATAAACCGAGATGGATAGATAGATATGAATAAACAGAGAGATAGATAGATAGATAGAATAGATAGATAGATAGATAAACCGAGATAGATAGATAATGAACAGATAGATAGAGATAGATAGATAGATAGATAGATAGATAGATAGATAGATAGATATAGATATGAATAAACAAATATGAATAAACCGAGATAGATAGATAGATAGATGAAAGATAGAAAGACAGAGTGTATGCGTGTGTGATTGGGAGAGAGAGAGATAATGAAAGACAAAATTGCTGCAATATCTGAAATGGTGCTCCTTCAACATATCTACATATTCTTTACAAAATCCACAGCAGCAGCTGTGATGTTATTGCTCTTCATCTATCATCCAGACTCCAATCGCTTCCTCACCTCAAATGACCTTTCTTCTAAATACCAGATTAGCCGCAAATTTCCATCTTATTTTCCCCTCCGCCTTGGCATGACTTCCAGTCTTTTCAATAAATATGGCACTTACTCTCTCGACTGTATGAATTTAAGCGTGCTACTAGCTTGGCAAATAGGTCATCGTTTTACTGGTGAACCTGCAACCGTATGTTCTATTTTAATCGTTTCTTTTCTCGCAATTCTTCCTTATGGAAATGTCTTGCTTTCCTAACACCTACAATCTTCAAACATTTAAACGCAATGCCAATCGTCATTTTCTGTCTGCCTTAAACCTTTTCTTTTATTGTTTTCATCTCACTAACGTCTTCAATCTTCTTTTACGCACAGTAACCACTTGAGTCTTTAAGACAGTCTCATCTTGCTTGTGGCTGAAATTATTTTTTAAGAAAGAAGGCATATATATATATATATATATATATATATATATATATAAAGAAGGCATATATATATATATATATATATATATATATATATATATATATATATATATTTCAAGGTATGATTAACTCTTTGTAATATAAAATATATGCTGCCTATTTTGTTATGTTCATGAAAAACAATTGATCCGCAGTAAATATTCCCTGAGAAAAAAAACTACTAAGACATATCACTTTGTTAATTGAACTATTTAGTTCATGCCATATTAACTGAAAAACACTTATAATAAAAAAAATCGTGGATTTACCAAGTTACAAAATTCATATAAAAATTCTCACTTGAAATATTTGAACTTTAGCGTTGCTATTTGCAAGCTCCAACATTACACAACCGTTAATAAATAGCTCATTCTTAAAAACATCTTTTGGTCTGCAACACATTTATTTCGTCTTCCTGTTTTGATTCTAAAGGAAAAAATACAGCCTGATGATGAAGTCTTTGAAAGTACTAGCTGAATTAAAAAATACACCATATCCATTTTATACATAAGGATCTGATCATTCAGTGGATTGTTAGTAGTATAATGCTTATAATTATGTCTACTAGCGAAGGGATTTCGCCAATAATTGCATTAATATTGCTAATTGTTTTAAGGTATGATTAACTCTTTGTAATATATATATATATATATATATATATATATATATATATATATATATATATATATGATTGATTGTGTATATGGAATGAATTCCAATAACCAACAATTACTATTCTTAAAAGAGTGCTTAATATTAAAGTAGAGCAGATATAATTATTTATATTTTTTTTATAATTTAAATATATTTACAAAATCATTACAAAATAGCCATTTTGGTGTCTTATCACCCATGTTGTCTTAAAATAAATTTATTTTACACTCAACATCATCACTTGATAAGACACTGAGGGTGTTGAAACAGAATGGCTATTTTTGTAGTGATTTTGTAACATATTTATGTTATAATTTTTTTTAAATAAATAATTATATATATATATATATATATATATATATATATATATATCACCATCACATTACTTTAGATATATTGATGACATTTTCTTACTATGAACTCATGGATCAGAAAATTAAAACCTTTTTTTCTTTCTGCAAATCAATTTCCACGATACAATTAAATTTACCATTGAGCACTTATACACATCCATCCCTTTCTTAGACGTTATGATAAAATTAAACAAACATACACTTTCTACCAGTCTATACAACAAGCCCACAAACCAACATAAATGCCTGCACTTTAACAGCTGTCATCCCTTTAAATTAAAAAATCTATTGTATACAGCTCATTTCTAAGAATCAAACGCATATGCTCAGACCATTTAGATTTTCTATACAACATTAATAACTTAACAAAACAATTCCTAAAATGCAAATACCCAATAAAAATAATAAAAGAAACACTAAATAAAACTATCCTGATAAATCGTATCACACTTCTCACATACAAGAAAAATCAAAACAACAATCGGATTCCCATGGTTTTTAACCACAATCAATATTCCCGCACACTTATTCACAATTTAAAAAACGATTACAAGAACCTCCAATTAGACAACAAGATCAAAGACATTTTCGATAAACCACCCATAAATGCAAAAAAACAATCACCTAACCTATCAGCTATCCTCACCTCTACCAAATATTTAAACAATAGAAACCAATCAGGAAATTACAAATGTAACAAACCCCGTTGCTTAGTTTGCAAACAGTTAATAATAGCTAATATATTTTCTGTACCCAACACCAATATCAGGATACAGCCACCTAAACTCACCTGCGATAGCCATAACCTAATCTATTATTTATTCTGCAACTTATGTCCTAATAGTGGATATTTTGGTGAGTCTGGAAATAATTTTAGATTTCGTTTCAATAACCATAAACAAACAATACGTCAAAACAACCCTTATTCCCCCATAGCTAAACACTACAATCAATCAGGACACACATTAGAAAACTGCAAATGTTTATTGATAGATTCCGATTTTACTTCCATATTCACACGCAGAAAAAAAGGAACATATTGGATTTTAAAATTAAATACACATAAATTAGGGTTGAAAGGGACTTAGGTGTTTTAAATCTTTATAAATATTTCAATAGTTAAGCAATTTTTTTTTTTAGATATAGTAAAAATTTTTTTTAAACATTTAAAATATTTATAACAGTTAGATTTAAGTTAGGAATATCCGAACAGTGACGTTCCATATCACGTGACGTCTTTCTAACAAACAGTAATTTTAATTTATTTGTAACAAACAGTTATTTCTGATGAAAAATTGAGGACAATTTGAAATATCAAATATATATATAAATAAATAAATACTTTCATAAAATAAAACATTATTATTTTTTAATTTGAAACTTTTCTATATATACATATTAAGAAAGTATACGTGGCTTCTCATTATGCTATATATATATATATATATATATATATATATATATATATATATATATATATATATATATATATAAATATAAAACATTAGGCAGCATATGATTTACATACAAAGAATAATCACACATAGAATTAATCAGAAGTATTAATGCGATTATTGGCGACATCCATCGCTAGAAAACATAACATATGCATTAAAATCCTGTTCATCCATAGTGCGAGTTTTGATCCTTGATGAAAAACTTGTTGTCTGTAGTTTTTCAGTTTATTTGATGTTAAAATGCTAGTACTTACGGATAGACTTCTATCCATCATCAGGCATGTGTTTTTTTTCCTTATAAAATCAAAAACTTGAGACGATATACTTGTATGTCGACCGAAAGATGTTTTTTGGATATCTGCTATTATTGACGGTTGTGTAAGATCTCGGAACGTGCAAAGACGCAACGCTAAGTTTTTCAAAATTTTTTAAGTGAGAATTTTATTTAAATATTTCTTGTGATGTGTTAAATCCACGTATTCTATTTTTACAAGTGTATTCAGTTTTTATGTCATGAACTAAGTATATAGTTCAATAATATAGTGTAATGTCTTAGTAGTAATATACATATACACAGTCACAAAAACAAAACAAAAAAAAACAAGGAAATAACCAGCTTTAATATAATAACAATAATAATTTTGTAAATTAAAAATTATAGCAATCTTCAACTACCATAATTTTACACAGAATACCTATTATCAGGATTTATACCAAAATAAATTAATACATATAACAAAATAAAATAAAATAAAACACCAACAACCACTTTTTAGTTCAAGCTACCACCACTAGCTACCACCACTATAACTACATTCATGGTTTTATCATTCTCCCACCACCGTTACTAATCATTTCTACCAATTTACAATAACTATTAGTTAATTATATTATCACTGTCTCCAATCCCTTGCAACATTACTATCACATCATATCATATAGAACCGTTATTAAATTAAACTATCCTCTCACCCAGCACATTAAATATTAAACATCACCATATAAATTAAGGATTAAAAATTTCTATCTGTTACATATACACAGTCACCAAAAACAAACAAATAACCAGCTTTAAATATAACAAATAAACCCCCATTTTTTTCAAAAATTTAAAAATAAATATAAATAATAATAATTTTTATCTATCATAATTTTACACAAACCCCACCACACGTATGTACATACATGCGAGGAAATATTATTCAACGGAAAAATACATAATATGACATGTATACATTCACGAGACATTCACGAGACATTAAAGCCAAACTTCCAATGTTTAAATTTCAACATTTCAACTTACAAATGCGTATGTATAGACACATCACCACCATGCGTATACATACATATGTCATATCCGAAACTTCTCATATGTTTATATATGTATGAGTCCTGACGGACGACCAAGTATGTATATGTGTGTCTGCATACATCGATGTTTGCGTTAGTACGATGACAAAAGCGACGAAGTTTCCCCACCATAACACCAATACACGCAATCTACATAAACCCAAATTTAAAAAAATTAATCAGTTTGTCTGACGATCGCTAAAGCGTGAAACCCAGGGTCACAAACTCACATCTATCCAACCAAATATGTTAGCTCTATCTCTGATATTGAGCGCTTTTAATAAGTACCGCGTATATAATATATAAATAATTATACATATATATATATATTTATATTTATATACGTATATATATATATATATATATATATATATATATATATATGTGTGTGTGTGTGTGTGTGTGTGTGTTAGGAAAATGAAAAAGTAGGAAACAGATCTTAATCTAACATGTTTCACTTTAATAAAGCTTTGTCAGAAATCAAAATAGAAATGATAAAATGGAAAGAGACGCAGATTTATATGTTGTATTAGGCTATATATATATATATAATCGACTCTCCTGTCGCGTTCGACGTATGAGGGTCAGGCCGATAAGTCCCCAGGAAACCGACATCCCGACACCGGCACATGAGATTTGATTATAGTG